ACAAAGAAGAACACTTCCACACACACACACAGACATTTTTTAATATATAGTCAATGGTAAACTTTCAATTTCTGATTCAATAAAACAACATAAACACATTTAAAAGGTGAAGATTAATATTTGATGTGCCCCTGAGCATTTGGCATTAAATAACTGTGGTTCCCTGAGCAATTTAGTTGAAAAGCCCTGTATAAATATCTCAAAACAGCTGCTTTAAAGCCAGCATTGACCATAAACTACATCTCCCACAATGCATGTCAGGTATGCATGGGAATTCCCTCTTGGAAAGTGTGTAATTGGAACTCGGCAGTGGGATTTTATGAGTTATAATGTCATTTAATTTCCCTTTGGGATTAATAAAGTATTATTGGATTGTATTAAAACTTTCTTAATAGTATTCCCATATAATTTTTTTTCACATTTAGTTTGTTGCATAGTACTTTTTAATATTTAGAAGAGGATGTGTTAAAATGCTGATTTGATGCAGAAAATACCACATAGAGCTCAGTAATTGTTGGTTAGCGGTTCTCTGTTGTAACAATGAGACAAGGAACATGACCTTTCTGTTTAGTCAAAGTTAAAAACAAAATGACAAAGTTGATTACAACTGGCCCTTTGAGGGTCACCAGGCTCGTGGCCCTCGGTGAAAATTAATTTGAGAAAGACAATCACGAAGGGTATTTAAAAAATAAATACAAATATTACACACACAATTGTGATTTAGTACAAAATGAGTACTTGCTCACAGCAGTATAAACATTAGTAAATTTCCAAACATTTTAAAAAGCTTTTAGGCTGCCTGGACAAATACTGAAACAAAACCACTTTAAAATTCATAAAATCTGGCTCATTGAAAGCACAATATGCATAATTAGGAGTGGAATAAAATATAATTGTTGCAGTTTAGATTAAGTGTTTAAAACGTTTAATAGTATAAAGTTAGTTTTAGAAAGAAATAGTTTTTAAAGTTTTTACATATTTGCCAAAAAAAAAAAACGGAAGCACACTTACAGCTTCCGGGTTGTGCTACATTCACGTACTATAGAAAAAGAACGAAAAAAAATTACCAAGGAGTGTATGGCGTTCTTCGTTCATGCTATGCTTACTATATTACTTTTTGTTTACTAACACCGCTTTAAGTACATTATAGTTACAAGGATAAAATTTAGCGAAATGAAAATTGTGCTGGTCACTCAAAATGTGGTAAATACTTTTATTATTTAAGTGTTTATTGTGGATTTTATTTAGTTGTGTACTAACGCCTGCGTCACTGATAAATAAGCAAGTTTGATGCAAGTATGTTTTTTTTTTTTTTKTTTTTTTTTTTGAGCCAAAGAGAAAATTCCCTTTGAATGTTACCGCCGTCTTCAATATGTAGATCAGGATTACGACAGAACCTGAACACGTCATCAGAGGTCGACATGTTTGTTTACTAAACGCGGATTCAGTGCTGCAAAAAGACAACCTTAGGTATTTGTTTACATCTACTCTATGTACATAACAGCCATATACACATCTTTATATGTTCAGTCCAAATAAAGTGCAGTTTAGTTTAGCTCTTGGATAAATTGTCGTAGTTGTTTGAGGCGTCGATTTATTGTTTTTATTGCTGTTTAAAGAAATGTAGTAGTGTGTGTTTCCTTCAGACTAAACGAACTCAGTTAGCCTTTAATATTCAGTAGCTATTAGCGTCATTTTCTGTTTCAGAATACATTTTCAGGAGTGACGTTAATGTGTAGAAGGCGCCACTGACACTTTTATTTATTTATTTTTTAACAGCATGGCTTCGTTTGGCTGGAAGAGGAAAGTCGGTGAGAAGGTGTCCAGATCTGTCGTCCGGCAGTTTGAGGCTGAGGAGGAGACAGCCGAGGCAGGTGGAGGAGGTCGGGACGAGGAGGAGGAGGTGGACTGGCTGCACGCCATCAAACGGCGGCGAGAGATTCTGCTGGAGGACTGCGCTGCAAAGAGCAGGAGGCTGAAGGATGAGGGAGCTCTGCTGGCTGAACAGGGCAGGTCAGGGTGCATGAAAATACACAAACACTGATGGAAATTAACACTAACTGATTCAAGGATGCCTTCAAGGTGATGCCATGCAGGGAAATGACCACCCCTAAAAATAAAATTGGTGATCCTCTTTTGCCCTCTATGGTTAGACAATTTTATTCTCTTGACTCCCAAGTTTTTGCATGTTGTATGTTTGTTATTTTTTCCAATCTTTTGGGAGTGGACATTAATTACATTTCTGGTGGTGCCACTGCAGTGCATATCGTTAAGCTACATTAATACATTTAAAATTATAATTTAAAATTATAATTCCACTTCAAACTGAATAACCTATTGTCAACATAAGTATTTTCAGCTCAAAATATTTTCAAACTAATGAAATATAAAGTTATTAGTGGTGAAAATCCATCTAGATAACAGCAGACTGACTGCACTTAAAATATACGACAGGTCTGGACCACCAATTTAGTTTGTATCTAAAAAAAAATCTTACAGTACAAGAAAATTGGTGAATGTGACAAGTTCTCCTAAATCACTCAAAATCCTAAACCACTCATACATACGAACAAATCTGTTCGTACGAGTGGTTCTTGCGTGAGGCCCAATGAATCCTGGGGATGCTGTCGGCTGTTTAGTAGAGCTGGGCGGTATGACCCAAATTTTATATCACGGTATTTTCAACAATTACACCAGTTTCACAGTATTTGACTGTATTTTTTTTCCTCATAGGTCAGTTGATAATAAAATGTACAAACTTTGCTTATTGACTTTTTTCTTTTCTCACTGTTTCCCTCCTCTTGTACGTCTTTTCTTCTTTGCCTGGTTGTAGACAGTAATCATGCATTTTGGTCCGATTGTGAAGGTTTGAGAAAAAAATCATTATCTGGTCTATCGTTACGTGTTAATAAAACACGTTAATAAAATAAGGATGACTCACCTTGCACACCAGTCAACTCCGCTACACTACAAAGCTACTTTCCCCTGGACTTTTCACAATAGAAGCACGCTAGAGTCTCCATGCAATAACGTCTCCGTTATAACGTAGGGCGTTAAATCTAACCGTGCACGTCACTGAAGAGTTGTTTACTATTCAGCGATGGTGAAAACTGGATTTTTTTTAAACGTTAGACCACATAAGTGGCTGAAASAMACCACCCGCCGCCAGTTGTTCCAACAATAACGTTAGCATGCTAATGCGCTTAGCGGTGCTGCAACGAAATGTGTCCCCAGGGCAACAGCTCACTGGCGGCTGCGACGAAACGTTCTGCACGTGTTCAGGCCATACCGGTATTCAGAAAAGTCATATAACAAAAATATAAACCGGTTTTCGGTACAAAACGATATACCGCCCAGCTCTACTGTTTAGGTTATTCAGATGCAGCCTATATTTTCCGCGTTTTGTGGGCTGCGTTTGTCGTTTGCGTGAGTGGGTGCACACAAACTGGGACAGCGCATGGCACAGCGCAGTGACGATGTTTTGCTTTGAGTTGAGAAATAAAACTTGGGTTACGAGTCACAGTGATCATCCACCCAGCATCCCGTGTCTCACTCGTTCGCTGTAAGCGGTTAGCTGCAGTGGTAACTTCAGTGTTAGGCTCATACTTGTTCTGGCAGATATTTATTTTCAGTTCAGATTTTCTTCTCCACCTTTGTCAGCATCTTCAGTTCATCTTATCTACAAGGTAAATGCTGTACATTATACTAAATTAAACCAGTTTGCTATTGCAGTACATTTAATTGTATTGTGTTTTTATACTTTTTTTTTACTTTTAGGTACATATTTCTTATTTAAAACCATGTCATAAAATAATTGCAGTGTATTTGTGGAGTCCGAAACAGATTAATGGCATTTAAATAAAACTTTTATAGGGAAAATTGATTTAACATACAAGTGGTTTGAGTTATGATCTCTGTCACAGAGTGGATTAAACTTGCACCGCTGTTTGTGAAAGTATGTCATAAACAAAATTAGGTGAAGTTTAAAAGCAACTACATTTAAAGTTAAGCCTGTTAACATAAAAGGATTTGTTCTTTTCACGGAGCTTTTTACAGGTAAAATTATATTAAAAAAAAGACAGGTTGTTAATTGTCCACACGAGGGCGCCATTGCACACTCAAACTCTGACCAAAGGAAATAAATGTCTACTCTTCCTAAAATAAACTCTCAGTAGCTATTTAAATGAAAAAGAACAGAAAACATAGAGCTGTCAGTGTTTAAGTTGTTTGTGGGTTTGATTAAAAGGCTTTTCGGTGAAACCTCAGATTAAACCGATTAAACCTCAGAGAACGTTTGTCCCTCCATCTTGATAAACAGGACTATATTTAGAATTATGTGCTGGTTTTGTTTTTAAGTAAACATCCAGCACCGAGCCAAATTGTGGGCTCTACCCAGAAAGCCATCAGATTCTTTAAATATGAAATCACCAATAAGCCCATGTGAAATTTCTTGACCTTTTCTGAGCTAAATAACCACTTTGTGAAAGTCTTTTTTGTGTGGACACAGTGTTTTGACCCTTCCTGGCTGCTGTAATGAAATTTGTGTGGAGAAAATGGATTTTCTTTGGAGAAATGATGTCTTTGTGCTGCTGAATGACTGTTTAGAGATTCAAGGTGGTGTCTGGCTGTGGATGTCACTGAGGAGGATTTGTAAAAGCAAACAGCTTTGATCTTTAATGTGGGATTTCTTATTATAAAGTTTTAGAAGCATCTGACGTGATCAATGACTTGGTTTTTAAGTCTGCAGTTTGAGACAATTTAGCTTTTTTTTGTCCTCGTTTTTATCTGTAGACATCACTGTAAACTTATTGACTGCACTTTACTGAACACAGCTAATGTCTTACCAGGTTTGGAGTAGATGCACTATAAAGTTTTGTGCCTTTAGAAAAATAAAGTATTTACAATTATTTTATTTTAGTTTTTGCACTATTAGTTAGAGCTGGGTGTTGTACTGGTTTGTACTGAAAACCTTTTCTTTTAATTTTTGGTTACGATATGAATTTTTGTATACCGGTTCAAATAGCCTGTCGCTCCCACCAATAAACTTTCAAGGGGGCCCTTTCTCTTGTTGCGCCACTGAACACACATTCTTGGCTGTGTCCAAATTCAGGGGCTGTATCCTTCGAAGGTCGAATTTTTCGTCCGCTTACGTCACTACGCCGAAGGCTGTCCGAATTCGAAGACTCTTCTGGGTCCAGTGGATCTTTCTCTGCCAATCCCTATCCCAAGATACGTTGCACGACGACCGATGATTATTCTTGTTTTTTTTTATTGTAATGGCAGATGAAGCGAGAGAAAGGAGTACAGATTTAAATAAAAATATGTCCGGATAAAAATTTACATTTAAAGCGGTTATGTTTGAAGACTTTTTTTTTTAGTATTCTTGTCAGATCTTGTATAGCAAAATAAACGAGCTCGTACCGCCAGTCCCCTAGTTCTTCAAGTATCGTCTTTAAGCTAATCTTGTTAATTTATAATGTTATTATATGTAATATTGTGCCGATTTTTGATTTATTTTTTGCTTCTGTTAAGCGTTGTCATGTTTGCTAGGACAAATTCAAATTCATAGCCACTTTCTTCTGGTCTTTGCGGTCGACAAAGGACCTGGCCCACCTAGACCAGGTAGGCCGGGTCCTTCGAAGGACTCTTAGCCTTTGTATTTGGACACAGCCCTGGAAATAACCTAAAAGACAGCCCGAAATGCAAGAAGACTGTCTAAACAACCAGGAGAAAGAAAAGACATGTAGAGTAATGCGACACTGACAGGTAAATAATTTCTGTGTTGAGGAAAGAGTGTAACTTCAGCTGACCACAGTTTGCTGATCAATAAACAGCTTTTCATTTTACCTGAGCTGTGATGAAAACTAATCCTGTAGGAAACTCCACCTTATATTTCTCAGGGAAATTTGCAAAAGTAAATTTATTCAGCGGGTGTTTCACATTTGTCTACATTTTGTTATTAGTTTTTATTTTCTTTATTTAGCTTTTTTGAGTCACTATCAGAGAGACCGTAGACCATAGAGTTCCTTTTATTCGTCATTTTGTTTTTGACTTTGGCCATGCCAGTTTCAAAGCATGCTAGCTATGTGACAGAATGTGTAAAATCATGTTTATTATTCCAATTTTCTTTAATATTAAGATGTTTTCTTTCAATTTCTATACATGTAGGAAATACTGTACATGTCACAGGCTGTTTGAAGAAGTATTTGTTGGATGGACATCTACAACTGATTAACCTTTAGGGTCACTCCAAAACAGAACGGCCACTGCAGCTAATCAGCTTTAATAAACAAAAAAATGGCTTTAACTCAACCAACCTGAAGATCTTGAGCTAAGATTTGGTGTAGTAGTAGCTGAGAGTCATCTCCAACATGTAATTGTGATATGCATTTCTTCTAGGAATGCCAGTTTCATTGGGTTGTTTTGAGTGTTTAGTTTTTCCGAGTCGCATCAAGATTCAAATACTTTGCTTTTCTTTACTTAGTTTTTTATGCTTAGACTGAGGTACTAAAATGTAAAATTTTACTTGATGTTCTAAAATTTTATAAGTAAGTTAACCTTTTAGTTTACCAATCCAATTAGAAAAGTTTCATTTCATGTCAGTGTGTAAAATAGTCAGTTTCTCACTTCTTAACTGCTAACAGTCAAGATAAATTGATAAGTTTTTCTCTACATTTACTCTGTATATCAGTGAATCATTGATATGGTCCCAGGCCTTTGTTATTGCACCCCTTTTGTGTCTCCCCCCTTTCAGTTTGCCTTTGGCTGATACAGATAAAAGTGATCCAACAGGGGAGTTGCTTTTGCTCTTCTAAAGGCTTCACATGGTGTATTGCTTAATTTCCTCAAAAGACTTTGCAACGATTTTTGTTTCATGTATGGTTGCAACACAACTGTAGTTCTTTTTCCTCAGTCAGCTCTCTTCTTTAATGCACTGTCAGGTTCCAATTTAATTTAAATGATCAGTGCCTCGTTGTTGTTTTATTTTCTTCAAAACATTTCTGAGAAACTGTCTTTTTAATGGTTGTAAACGATTTAGACTTTGACACATAAAATCAAACCAATTTCGTTCATCCCTTTCGTTCATCCCTAAGTACGTCAACTTCTCAGTTATCCCACAGCAGTTTACAGTGATGCTCTGTGCTCAGGCTGAAAACCTCATTCTGTATTTGGATGTTGAACTTCCTGTTAGGAAGACAATGAATAAATTGTGTTGGCAGTAAGACGTGGTGCTTCATCAGTCCGTGTACAGATCGCGACATCGATCTCTCGGACTTTTCTCTGTTGTCAAGTGTTTTTTTAAACAATAAAAAGTTTCTTGTGTATAAATATGCTCAAATGAATTCTACACTCTTAAATGTGCACACAAATGCATCAATATGTCACATTTGCAGGGCAGCGAGAACTTCCGGGTCATATCCGTTGTTTATAAAAAAATTACAAAATCGAAAATGACCCGTCTTTATTCATTTTTTTTAAACTTTTTTTGTTTAGTGCACAACATCGGAAATCGGATAACGGTTTGTTATCCATTTTTTTGCTTTGGTTCAATAAACAAAAAACGAAAAAACTAGTGGGTCAGTGTATCTTTTGGTCATTGGATTTTCATTTTAGAAACGGGTATTAAAAAACAAGAAACGAGTGGATATTTGATTTTTGGTTTTAAAATGCTGGAATTAAAATTAAAATACAAAGCCATTCTCATTCTTAGTGTCAAAAGGGGATAAAAATGATTTGAGTTTCATTTTCTGTTTCGGATAGCAAAAAAGAAAATTAATTTAAGACAGAAACGAAAAAAGGCTTGTATTTTACGACTATCTATTCCCC